GACAGATGATGGAGCGAGGAATCGTGCACAATATTCAGTGGTGTGACACCCGCGATATGATTGCGGACGGTCACTCCTACAGGTCATGGGAGGTACATGGTCGTTAAAACATGATTTACAGCGTTATACTCCCGATCGGGCTGGCCATGCATCTCGTTCTGTAGCCGCCTGAGGAGCACTCGTATGCACAGTATAGTGCAGGCAAGGCAACTTGCGTGCGGCTCCACCTTCCTTACGGCCGCGCCCTTTTGCTGCCCGTTTTGTGAATAGTCGCTGCTGTACATGCTGTACAGAGGCGGCGGATTCACGCTTCGTCTCCCTCACCCCCCGACTCTTAAGTGAGTTGGGTGTTGCATATCATTGGAAACGAGCGTGCATCCGCGGCTGCTTGGCTCAAAGCGGCCGGCCGCCCAGATTTGACTACACTTCAGCGAGAGGTGTAATACCATTTGCCATCGCTACCAAAACTGGTTGAGATGGGTCGCCCCCTACTATTGGTACTATGGTTACGACGGTACAACAGAGCGGGAGCTGGGTCTCGCCTGACACGAAGTTGCAAGTTGGGCCTCCAAGCCTTTTTCAAACTCCCTAGACGGCCCACGAATGCCCCAAGACGGACCAATACACCCCTAAGACGGCCCAAGAGGGCCACAAGCGGGCTTCAAGATGGGCCCACAAGGCTGCCCAAAGTTGCCCCCCAAAGGACCCCAAGGCCTCCAGGAAACCCCCAGGAGACCCCCAAGGCTCCAAGCGGGTTGCGAGAGACTTCCATCGAGACCCCAAAATACGTTTGCGAGGCCTTTTGGTCCACAACCCAGGCATACTTCCCTGATGGACCCCAGACCGTCGTCATGGCGGCTCCAGAAAGCCCCGAATCGCGTCCAATTGTGTTTTTAAGAGTTTCCGAAAGCCTCCAGAGGCAAGCATGTACGTGTGTAGTTGTGTTTGAGGTTCGAGTCTCGCGTCCTATGAGGGCTGCACGAGGACCCCTAGAGGGCCGGGGGGGCCGAAATACCGCTCGGTGGTTCCCATGCGGTTGGCCCAACTGCCGTGCTTGCTACGTGGTGATGATCATGTGGTTCTGGAAGGAGCACCGGCATTTTTGGTTGAAACGTCCCACCAAGGTGGGTGCGAAAGCTCTCATGCAGTACCCCGTGGCGGTTCCGTTTGGCTGACCTAAGTGCTATGCTTGCCAATCGCCATGGTCATCATGACCATGTCTCATGAGCCACAGAACGTCCATGATGACCATCGCCATGGTCATGATGACCATCGCCATGGTCATCATGACCATGTGTCTCGTTCAAGAACCACATGATGTGGCTCTTGAGTGTGACACGTCTACCCCCACCGGACTCGTCATTCTGCTTGAGATGTCCACGCAATCTGGGCGCGAACGGGCCCGTGCAGGACCCCATAGGGGGGGGTCATCTTTGGGTGGCCGAGATGCCGTGCCCCTTGCTTCGTGATGATGATGTTGCTGATGATGTTGCTGATGACAACAACAACCACACAACTACGAATAACAGTACTACTACTAATACGAATAGCCATGATGATGATGATGATGATGATGATGATGGTGGTGTGAAGGTGGTGGTGATGATGATGGTGGAGGTTTTGGTGGTGGTGGTGGCGATGATGAGTACAGTCGACCCGCATAGTAAAGATGGACAGCATTATCAAGGTTACCCTTGCATCCTTGCCTTCTCGGCCCATCCTTGGCCAGATTCGTTGGCTGCGCCCCTCTCGAAAAGCTTTGAACTGGGCGCCCAAGGCCCTTGCATCCCTATCGCGCACCCTTACTGTACGGGATGACTGTATGCTGATGATGATGATGACGACGACGAGGATGATGATGATGATGATGATGATGATGATGATGATGATCGTGATGGTGATGGTAATAATGCACCTGTTGATGATGCTGATGGTGATGCTGATGATGATGATGCTGATGGCGATGATGGTGACGACGATGATGATTATAATCGTGGTGATGCTGATGCTGATGATGCTGCCGATGATGCTGATTATGATGATGTAGAGATGATTACGATGATAATGATACTCATGCTGCTGATACTGGTGTTGATGCTGCTGATAATGATGCTGATGCTGGTGCTGATGCTGCTGATGCTGATGACGAGGGCAAGGTTTATGATGCTGATCATGATGATGATCGTGATGATGATGCTGGTAATGCCGATGATGGCATTGCTGATGCTGATGATGATTGTGATCAGGATGATGATACTGATACTGATAATGATGAGAGTGATGGTGATGACGATGGTGCTGATGCGGATGATGATGAACCTGATGTTGATGATTGTGCTGATGATGATGACGCTGGTGATGCTGATGCTGAGCTCGTGATGGTGCTTAGGCTGATGACGACGATGTTGATGATTATGATGATGCTGATGATGCAGATTTTTGTGGTGATGATGATGATGGTGATGGTGATGGTGATGAAGATTGTGTGATTATGGTGGTGCAGATATGTTGACGATGATGATGGTGTTATTGATGATGACCATGATGATGCGGATGCTGATGACGATGCTCTAAATACAAGGAACACTGATAGGAATACCAATAGCAACACTACCAATACTACGATTGATGATAATAACGATGATGATGATGCTGCTGCTGCTGATGATGCTAATGATGCTGATATTGATGCTGATGCTGCTGCTGATGATGATGTGATGCTGATGGTGATGCTGATGCTGATATTGACGCTGCTGCTGATGCTGATGACGGCGATGCTGAAAATGATGACGATGCTGATCATGACGATGATTGGGATGATTATGAGGGTGAAGATGATGATGCTCGTGCTGCTGCTGATGCTGGTGCTGATGGATACGATGATGGTGATGATGATGATGTTGATACTGATGATGATGGTAATGATGATGATGGTGATGACGATTGTGTGATTATAATCATGGTGATACTGATGATGGTGACGACGCTGACGATTCGGACGATGCTGATAATGATGATGACGACGATGCGGATTGGGATGCTGCTGATGCCGGTGCTGCTGCTGATTATGATGATGATTACGGTAATGATGACGATGATGATGATGAGGATGATGGCTGTGATGATTTTAACTGTGGTAATGTTGATCGTGGTAATGATTTTGATGGTTCGGATGATGATGATGGTGGTGATGATTATGATGAGATGATGCTGATGATGATGATGCTGCTGATGCTGATAATGTTGATGGGCATGCTTATGTTGCTGATGCTGATGATGCTTCTGCTGATGATGATGCTCATGAGGATGGCTGCTGCTTATGCTGCTGCTGATGATGATGATTGTGATGCTGATGCTGATGATGATGATGATTACGATGCTGCTGCGTATGCTGCTGCTGATGATGCTGGTGATGCCGATGATGATGATGATGATGATCCTTTGCTGATGCTGATGAAGACGATGATGATGCTGATGCTGATGCTGATGCTGATGCTGCTGATGATGATGATGATGCTGATGATGCTGATGATGATGATGATGATGATGATGATGATGATGATGATGATGATGATGATGATGATGATGATGAGAGGGAGGGAGGGGCCAGTTGCGAGTGTCACCCAATCTCGGACCATCTTTCGGAACGCTCAGGAGCTCCTCCTGAAACCATCTTCGGTTGCCACGTGGTACTCTGTTAGAGCCCCCTGGGGCAGTGGGGCTATTCTGGGGGTGGTCTGTTTTGACGCTCTTTTTGAGGCCTCTTCGGAACCTGTTGGAACACCTCTTGAGGCCACTTTGGCGCCACTCTTGGAGCTCTCCCTGAGCCTTCTTCGGCCTTTCGCTGGGGCCATCTCGGGGCAAGTCCTGGAGCCCTGTCGGGCCGTCGCTCTGAGGCCCTTCGGAGCCTTTTGGGTTTTTTCCTGCGGCACTACCCGGGCTCTGTTGACGCCACATTGGGGCCATACTGGTTGAGGGGCAATGGGGGCGGAGAGGGAACGAGAGGAGGAGGGAGGAGGAGGAGGAGAAGGAGGAGGAGGAGGGAGGAGGGAGGAGGAGGAGAAGGAGGAGGAGGAGGAGGAGGAGGAGGAGGAGGGAGGAGGGAGGAGGAGAAGGAGGAGGAGGGTGTCCCCTTGGGACTCCTTCTCCGGCCCTCCGTTGCCCCGCCCGGGGCCCTCTTCGGCCCTCCTCGAGCCCTTCGGGGCGCTCTGGGGCTCGTCTTCGACTGCCCTTCGGCGCTCTCCTGGGCCCTTCTTGGGGCGCTCTCGGAGTCGCCGTACAACACCATGTCTGTCGCCACCCACCAAACCACCCTAACCCAACCCGAAGGCTCAGATTTACCCTCGATTTCTAGTGGGGGGGGGTCGGGAAACATCGAAAAAACACGCGTGGAACCCTTACCCCCCCAACCCGAAATTCGAGTCTTCGGGTTGGGTTGGGGTGGTCTGGTAGGTAGTCAGTCTGGAATCGTCCTTGTCTGGCCCGGTCTCTCAAGTAAGATGTTTGCTCCCAGTGGTCGAACAATGCGTGGGCAGCTCCAGCCGTGGCATGTGTGCGTGCGTATCTGCACGCAGCTGGGACATTGTCAACGGCGGGTTTGGGCTAGAACCTAAGCGCGCGCGAAGCGCGCGCGTGTGGTTCTAGTCTAGTATACCTGATTCGGGGCGGTTGGGTTCCATTTCGGGACATCGTCGGATTATTTGGGGTCTCTTGGGCCTCCCGCTTGGCATGTCGGAGTCCTTCTTGAGCCGTCTTGGAGGGCATCTTGGACATCTTGGACGCGTCAGAGAGTGGATTTGGAGGCTCTCCCCGCAGAGGCGTTGAGGAGTTCATGCCCCCTCCTTTGGGGGCTCTACCCCCCGAACGGGCTGGTGGACCCTGAGGAGGGGGAGCAGGAACATGGGGACAAACATCTCACACGCCTTTTCACCCTTGGCAAGCGGGGGTCGGCGGATTTCGAGTGGGACGGCCTCACCTTTGGCAGTTTCGTTGTCATCCTCATGCTCAAGAATTTCGTGTGGGCCATCATGGACTTCCTCACGATCCTCTCGTGCGGCGACAACACGGCCACGTGCTTGGGAATGATGCCTGTCAGCATGCTATCCGAGGCACTTGAAGGGTCGCCATTATCGAGCGTCTCCGTTGGTCCCGCTGGCCTTTGGAGCCTCGCCGCGGCTACCGCGCGCAAGCAGGTGGCAATGTCGATCAAGGAGCGGCGAAGCAAGCTCAAGGTACGCAACGCGTGGCTCATCATCGAGCGCCAGAAGGCGGAGGATGGACACGATGTGGAGGCCATCGCAGTGTTGACTGAAGAGATCAATCGCGTCGAGGGGCAGCTCAAAGTCTTGGATGAGCAAGAGAAGATGAACCACGGGTAAGTTGGACGCGCCGGCGGTTCGAGTGAAGGGTGATGGATGGCACGCTCGTGATTTAACCAACCGCACACATACATATATATATATATATATATATATATATCTATATATATATATAACATCGGAGCGTTGGCCCCCCCGGCCGCGCCTGGGACACAATGACAAATGGGCCCCCTCCTGGGTAACCCAATTTGGCCCCCGGGGCCCAGGGCCTGTTTTCGGTCATTTGCGGGGCGGTTCCACCCCCAGACGGCCTAAGAGGCTTCCAAGACGACCCCATAGCGCTCCAAGAGCGCTCGAAGACATCTTAAGGTGGCCTCAAGACATCCCAAGAGGCCCCCAAGAGGACCCCCACGAAGCAAACATCGTCCCATTCTCTTAGGAAAACGTGCAATATTACCATCCTCGCTTGTTCGGTTTCGAGAGCGCCCACGGTGGCCCACGAAGCCCCCAGGTCGCTCAAAGACGGCCCAGGAGGCCCCCAAGAGGGCCTCAAGACGGCCCGCGAGAGTCCCCCCCCCCCCCCGGGGCCACCCCGGGGCCACCCCGGGGCCAGTGCCCCATGAAGACCCCAAGACCACCTGAACGAGCACGCCTGTGGCAGCAGCTCCAGACCAGAGGAAACAGGGCTTGCCGAGTCCCGCATGCTTTTCTGAGATGCCTCCCCGCCTGACGTGCGCAATCGCTTTGCGCCAGCTCAGCGATCAAAGTTGCGCGCCTCTCTCTCTCTCTCTCTCCCTCTCTCTCTCTCGCGCGGTCTCTCATACGAACAACCGTACATCCTGCTGACCCCCCTTCCCCCCGACGTCCCCGTAGCCCTGCATCTGTATAGGGTATCTGATCTGCACTGATCCGCTCGGCGCGCAGGAAGGAGACCAACCTCCTGCAGGCTCACGGGAACTCCGGGGTTTCCCTCACTTCGATTTGAGTTTGAAGTTTCGCTAGACGCGAGTCGCGAGAAAGCTTCGCTCCATTTTTATGTCTGTCCAATCTAACAAAATCAAGAAAGGCGCATCTGCAGCGACAAAAAAAAAGACGGCCCGAGAGAGTCCAATGACGGCCCAAGAGCGGCCTCAAAGAGGCCCACAAGGCTCCCAAGCGAGCCCCGAGAGAGCCACAGGAGGGCCACCACAGAGCCCGAGGACCGCCCCATGACGGCCCGGGCCTCCCAAGACTGCCCAAGAGCGCTCCAGGACGGCCATCGAGGGCCCCAAATGAGCCCCAAATGAGCCCCAAGAGGGCCGCCAAGCAGGCCAAGTGGTGCCATTATGTTTGATGTCCTGTTGTTTTCGCGTTCTCGCCTCTCCGGTCTCTCGGCAGCTCACGACGGCCTCAGAGGCATCCCCCCGATCGCCCCAAGATCCCCAAGACAGCCCAGGAGGCGCCCAAGACGACCGATGAGCGCCCGACGAGGGCCCCAAGAGAGGCCCAAGAGGAGGAGCTCGAACTGACAGTTCGAGCCCTCCGCCCCAAGACAACCCCCGATACTGCCACCAGGCCTCCCAACTCCCAGCAGGAGGATCTCAGAGGCGCAGGAGACGCCCCCCGAAAGGCCCCAAACGGACACACGGCCCCCAGGAGGCCCCAGGAGATTTCAGAATTGCCGCCACGAGGCTTACCAGAGGCCTCTGAATGACCCCAACAGGCATCCAGGAGGCTTCTGACACACACACACACAACCCATGCACGGTTGCTGGATGGGACGACGAGCGCTCGGAGTGGCACACGAACCGAACAATCAACTGTTTTTTCGGTTAGTGACTGATTTCAGCGCTCTCCCAAACCACCCGACGATGACGTCGAAGATAAGACCGACGACGACGACGACGACGACGACGACGACGACCACAGCGACGACAGCGACGACGACAGCGGGCACGGCGACGACCGCGAGCCCCTCGCCCAAGGGGCTCTAAGAGGCCCCTCAAGAGGGCCCCAATAGGCAAAACCCATTCCACTCCTGTGGCCCCAGTAGGCCTCCAGGAGGCCCCAAGAGGCCCCCAAGAGAGCCCAAGAGGCCCCCTAGAGGCCCCCTAGAGGCTCCACGAGGCTCCACGAGGCCCCACAGAAGCCCCAAAAGACGCCCCACGAGCATCCGCAGCCATTTTGGCTCAAGGTGGCTCTGGCTGCAGCGCGCAGCTCATCATAGTTGCCCATCACGATGCGGACCCCGCGACCAGGCCCTTGGGGCCCGAGGCTGCCCACTTTTCGAAGACTCCCGCCTCCCCACGCGGTGCCCACCGTGTCTGTCACTCGGGGTCCTTCGGGTGGCTTTCGGAGGGCCCGAAGGCGCTCCCCAGACGGTCCAGGAGGCTTCCGAGACGGTCCAAGAGTGCGCCAAGATGCCCAAGATGACTTCAAGACGGCCCGAGAGGCCCCCCAAGCGCTTGAAGAGGGCTCCAAGGGGACACTTAACTGTGAGGGCCGCAAGGAACACACATCGCCCTAATTCCTCGGGGAAGCGTCTATTTTTGGCATTTGCGTTAAAAAATATGAATAGCATCCACGACGGCCTCAGAGAACCCCAAGAGCGCCGCAAGACATCCCAACAAGACCTCCAAGACGGCCCAAGAAGCTCCCAGGATCGCCCCAAGCCGCCCCACAGAGCCCTCCAAGACGACCTCCGTAGGCGCCTGTGGATCCCAGAGCGCTCTGAGACAGTCCAAGAGGCCCACAAGACACCTCACTCCGCACCTCTCCCCGCTCCTCCCAGATCGTTCCCAAGGGTGATAGGGAGATTGTGTGTGTGGTGTTGGGGGGGAGGAAGGGGGACCAACTGGAGCTACAACATGGCATTGCATCGCACAGCAGAGCATAGCATCGCATAGCATCGCACAACACAGCATCAGCGAGCATCGCGTAGCATAGCATTGCATATAATCGCATAGCATGTCATAGCATCGCATCGCATCGCATATAATAGCATATCATCGCATGGCACAGTATGTCGTAGCATAGCATAGCATCGCATCGCACAGCATAGTATCGCATCGCATCACACCGCATAGCTTAAAATCGCAATGATAACATAGCGTAGCATTGTACAGCATGGCATAGCACAGCACAGCACAGCATCGCATAGTACCAAACACGCGGGGACACCCCCAGGCCACCGCCGGCCAACCGGGAGGGACACCACGGGACACCGCGGGACACCCCCGGTCCACTGTTGGCCAACCGGGGGGCACAGCAAGATTTGGCCCGGTTTTGCCGTAAGCACAGATGGTTCTTTCCTCTCGCCTTCCGACGCAGCTTCGCCGCGCCCACACGCGCGACACGAACACGAAACCGAAAACGATTTCCTGGCGGGGGGGCTCCTGTTCACTTCGATCTGTTTCCCATCCTCGGATTCTGTCACACCACGGGACACCGCGGGACACCCACGGGCAACCACTGGCCAATTGGGGGGCGCAGCAGCATTTTGCTGGGTTTTGCCTCAGCACGGCGGGTTCATTCCTTTCGCCCGCCGACGCAGCTTCGCCTCGCCCACACGCGCGACACGAAACTGAACGATTTCTTGGCGGGGGGTCTCTTGTTCACCTCGATCTCTTTGCCAACCTCAGATTATATCTGCTTGCTGCGGAGACAATCGTTTGTTTCGCTCCGCCTGGCCCCTCCTTCCCCCCACCTCCTAGGGCTCGAGGACAGCCCAACAGGACCCCAAAAACGGCCCCGGAGGTTCCGGAGTGCGCTCAAGGTGGCCCCAAGAAATCCCAACGGGATTTCGAGAGAGGGCCAGGAGAGTCCGTTGGGCCGTCTTTGGGCGGGCTTGGGGCGTCTTGCGGCCGTTTTGAGGCGGTCTCTGGCTCAGGGCGCCGTGAAGTCGTGGAGCAAGGTGCAGAGGGCGCAATTTTGTGCGGATGCGCGCGGCAGGGGGGCGTCGCTCCCAGAGAACAGCAGAAACATTTCCCGAAAGTCAACAAGCGCTCTCACATGGCCCCAATGTGCCTGCGACAGGGTGGTGGAGTTTCATTGTTGGCGTTCGAATGTTCAGAAAGGGATTTGGTCGACGCCTTAGTATGTATGCCGTTCGCGCCAAGGCGCGTCAGGCTGCAATGCTGGTTTGCAGATGACTTCCGCCTGCGGTCAGCCCAATGAATATGATGGATTTCTTTAGTTATGAGAGATGGCCGCTCCACAGGACATGACATTTATATGTTCCGACGGAGACGCATCAGCCTGGCCCATGATGGTTTCAGCAAGGCCTGCAATAACGCTAAGATGGCCTCAAGAGAGCCCACGATGGCCCCAAGATGCACCCTACGCGGCCATATGGGATCAAGACAACTCCAAATAGCCTCCGAGGCGGCCAAGACGCCTCCAAGACATTTGTTGGGAAATCTCGAAGAAGCTAAATTCATAGATGTCCCGTTGGTTTTTGAAGATTGTTGCATTTGTTTTTGTTTCGGCTTGTTGACGGTCCAGATGGCCCAAGAGGCTCCCAAGATCGCTCCCAGACCACCCAACAGGCCTCCACGATAGCCCCGTGACGGCCCAAGAAGCACCAAAGACGGCCCCAGGAGGGCCCCAAGACGGCCCAAGAGGACTGAACACGCCTGAGATTGCCTCCAAGACAGCCACGAAGCGCTCAGAGCGGGTTCGAAGACGGTGAAGACAGGCCTCAAAAACGACTTCTGGCAGCGTTCGACGGGCCAGGAACGCTTTAAGACAGGCAACGAGGCCGGGGCAATGCGGAAAGATGGTTGCCGCGGGGCACGCGTGGACGGGTGCGCTGAATTCCTTGTGGGGCACGATCCGCGTGAAGGGTCGCGCGAACACGCCCACTGAGGCCGCAGGTGGACTCAGGTGGACCTCCTCTGGGCACGCCCCGTGCCAAGCATGTTCCGAAATGGGACGGGGGCGCCATGCAAAGATGCCCGTTCTGGAGCATGATTCGCGTGATAGGTGTGCCGGCATGGGCGGGGGGGGGGTCGTTGTTCGAACCTTCCGGGCCTTTAATTCGGTGGTGCTCCTTGTGGGCATGATCCACGTGACGGGGTGTA